TATGTCCCTAGTGAAAAATAAATATACTAAAATGTATTTGAAATACATTTATTTATTGCTAAGTATACTACAAATACATTTACATATGTATGTGCTTGATAAAAATACCTTGCAATTGTACTTTTAGTATACTAAACTGGTATACTTAAAGTCTGCTAAATTGGAACAATTTTAAATTTTGTGCTTAATGCACTTTAATTGTAAGAAAGTAGTGCTGAAGTCTAGCTAAAGATATACTGAAGTATATTTGATTTTGCTAAAGTGAAACTATTTCAAGCATACTTAAGGTACACTTTAAACATCTTGCATTTAAAGACCAATATTATTCAAAGGTCTATGGTATATTCAATATTCAATTATTCAAACTATGGTCAATTTTTGTTTTGGCCCTCCTGTAAAGTTGGTGAAATGTCACTTACGCCCTTCTGGTTCCCACCCCTCTTTAACCTCTAGAAATTCACAACATCAGTCTACACTGGGTCAGTATTAGGCCTTTAAAGGGTCACATATTTTAGGTAACCCAATTTCACAGAAGGACTTTTTCCACAAAGAACCTTTAACTCTATTGCACAAAAGCTTCTTTGTAGGTGACAAAAAAATGGTGAAAACAAAAATGCTTATTTTGCACTCTTAAAAATAAAGGTGCCAAAAGTGCACCATTTAAAATATTTTAGAAGAATATCCAATCCTGCTCCTGGAGGGCCAACGTCCTTCAGAGTTTAGCTCCAACCTGTTCTAGCACACCTGTATGAAAAATTCTATTAGTGAACCCAAAGAACTTGAACAACTGGTTCAGGTGTATTTAATTGGAGTTGAAGCTAAACTATGCAAGACAATGGTCCTCCAGAAGCAGGATTGAACACTCATGTCAGAAGAACCATTTTAGGTTCCCTAGATAACCTTTCAGTGGACCTCTCTTAAAAGAACAATTTTTTTTCTTTCTGTGAAGACATTTTAATAATCGGAAGAGCCTTTAGAGTCACTGTAAAAAACTTTTGTGCAATAAAGAGTTTCCATGGATGTTAATGGTTCTTCTTGGAATCACAAGATTCTTTTCCACCGTCGGGCCAAACCATTCTTGTTGCTTAACCGTTCCGTTCCATGCCGATCCGACCCAGCCAGCATACATGGATTTGTTTTCTACTGTGTGGCTGATAACAGAGCTTGTACAAATGCATCAGGCGTTGCCTTGGTAATGCATGTGTTCATACTGTATGAGAAGTAAATATTGACCGTGTTATGGAAAATGATCAGATATTTGTTTACTTCGCTCAAATAGCACGCTTGGCCAGCTAGAGAGAGAAACTAGTAGCCAGACAACAAACAAGAGACCAATCCTGAGTGACAACGTCACTACATGCATTTTACCAGCATGGTCGTGCCGAACTAAGCGTTTCTTACTGTTCTTAGAACCATCCAGCCCGACGGTAAAAAAAGTGCATATTGTTGCCAATAAAGAACCTGTAGCGTCTGGACCAATCAGACACACCATTTTTCATTTGATTTAACAAATCAATTATTCCGTCGCTGTGAGAAACCCTTTTGGATACCTTTATTTTTAGGA